TTGGGCTTTGGCACATACAGGGCTGGGCTGCACTTGGCTCACCCCTGGTCCAGAGGGTTTTGAGCTTCCCCTGGGGGCCAGCCCAGCCCGAGGCCGTGGGGGATGAAAGAAGCCTGCCAGCCAGGCCGTTGTGAGCTGCCTGATCTGATCAAGGGCTGGTTCTACGGCCAGTGGAGGGAGCAGGGTGCGCGAGCGAGCATATGACTACAGCACAGCTGGATTTTGAATAGGTGCCTACAGAAAGAAAAGCCTCCTCACAGGACCAGTCTAGCAGGGAATGTTTTGTCCAGTGGATCTGCATTGTTTTTGGATCTGCTGGCCTCACTCCTACAGTTTTCTAAGGCTACTGCAGATAGGGTTGCCAGGTGTCCGGTATTGACCTGGACAGTCCAGTATTTTCGCCTCCTGTCTGGTAAAAAAAAAAATCAGAAAATACTGGACATCTAAAATGTCTGGTATTTTTCTGGTTTTTTTCCCTGCCAGGAGGCGAAAATACCGGACACCTGGCAACCCTACGACACACTTGGCAACCAGGCCCAGCCCCCAAACCCCTGCCCCCGGATCCCCTGCTTACCTAGTTCCACAGGGAAGCTGTATTCTGGCTTGATCAAGAAAACAAACGGCCACCAGCAAAAAGCCTAAAGACCAAGGGGAAGCAATGCCTTCCCTGGGTCTTAGTGCTCAACCACTCCCCTGATCCTATTCCTAGTCTGACTCTGCATGCACTGAAAGGGGCCAGGCAGGTTTATTTTATTTTATTTGCTTAATAACTCTGAGTCTTTTTTTTTTTTTTTTGGTTCAACAACTTTGGTCTCCTCTCCTCCCTTTTTTTCCCCCCCTCAACAGAATTTTTTTTTGGGGGGGGGAGGGGTTTCAGTATTTTTGGTTAAACCATCTGGCAACCCTATGGCCAAGAGCTGGCACACAGCAGAGGGACCAGCCAGCCCCACACACTACAGCTTTGCCTGACCTCCAGCCTTGCATGCTCACTCCCAGCAGCAGCCCCTGGACTCCTCCCCCACACTCATCGTTGGTGGGTGGGGGTTGGTGAGCAAGGATCCAGATAGCAGCAGGACCCACCACTACTGATGGGAGGGGAAGGAAAGAAAATACAAGGACCATTTGCCCTTTTTTCTTTTTTTTTTTTTTTAAGTAGGGACACCTGAAGGAGGGCTTAAATAGGGAACTGTCCCTTTAAAAACAGGACCTCTGGTTGCCTCAGAGTAAAAGCTACAAGACAGCAGGCCCTGAAGCCAAGTGCTCTGATAGGGTGGCTACTTGCCCTTCAGGGAAATGAAAGGGAGCAGCTTCCCACACAGGTTTTCTTTGAGTCACCAGATGGGGGAAGAGCACTCACCTGTATCACAGTGTCTGATCTTTCATGTGATTCCTGATGAAATACTAGCCCTGGGGTCCCTATGCCAACAGGGGAGGGGTCATATAAAAGGACAGCCTTGACAATCCGGAACAGTTAAGAACATAAGAACAGCCAGACTGGGTCAGACCAAAGGTCCATCTAGCCCAGTATCCTGTCTGCTGACATGGCCAATTCCAGACACCCCAGAGGGAGGGAACACCACAGGGAATTCTCATATGATCCCTCCCCTGTCATCCATTTCCAGACAAACAGAGGCCAGGGACACCATTCCAACCCATCCTGGCTAATAACCATTGATGGACCTAACCTCCATGAATCAGTCTAGCTCTTTTTTGAATCCTGTTAAAGTCCTAGTCTTCACAACCTCCTCTGGCAAGGAGTTCCACAGGTTGACTGTACGCTGAGTGAAGGAAAACTTCCTTTTCTTTGTTTTAAACCAGCCACTTATTAATTTCATTTGGTGACCGCTAGTTCTTATTTTGTAGTAATAACTAAATAACATTTCCTTATTCACTTTTTCCACACCAGTCAAGATTTTATAGACCTCTACCATATCCCCAGTTGGTTTCCTTAGTCCTGTATGGCAAAGCAGGGCCCTGCCACCCACCAGGAGATGAGGGGGATAGGAAAGCAAGGCTGGAACCTGAACTCAGCATATGTACATGACAAAGGAGAGCAGTCTCAGACCTGGTCTGCACTGAAAACTGAGGTCGATATAGCTACAGCACTCTTAGGTCTGAAAAATGCTCCCTTCCCCCTCCCCCCCACTCCAAGTGCTTTAACTATGTCAACCTAAGCCCTGGTGTAGACATGGCTAGGTCAATAGAAAAATGCTTCCATCAGCTTGGGCTGTGTCTACACTGGGAAGTGTGGAAGAAAACGAGCCTTCACTCTGCGTTGTGTTTAAGCAACAAGTAGCCAGAGGCAGTTTAACCGATTTGCGTCTGACCTTGTTGCAGATTCAAGAAGTTCGGATGGCGTGAGCCCAATGAGGCAGACAGCTCCACGGGCAGTCCTCCCTCTGACCCCCTCAGAGATTTCAAAAGGTCTCTTACCTCTCGCAAGGCGCCTTTGGGGTTAGCAGGGGAGACGGCCCGCAGCAGCTGCCGCTGCCCTTACCCGGGCGTTGCCATCCGAGTCACGGCACCAAATTGTGGAAGAAAATGAGCCTTCACTCTGCGTTGTGTTTAGGCAACAAGTAGCCAGAGGCAGTTTAACCGAGCAATATTGCAAGGGAAGACATCCATAAGCGGATCTTCAAATACAAAACAATTAAAAGCCAATATATATACCTTTCTATTACATATAACATTAAACAATTACTTCCCTGCCCACTCAGTTCCCATCGGACACTGTCTTATCTCAAGGCTCTCACTGAGGTAAGCATTCCACTCTTATCAATATGGGAGAGACAAAGGCGAACACAGCGTCTCTTTTGGCTCTCGCGTTAGCAGGAGTCAGAGTGACCCAGACTCCTGCTCTGCTACTGACAAACCCTGAAATGGCCACCCAAATCCCCTTTCCCTTAGTCCTGCTTCCACAGAAGGTTTGGTGACAAAAGTGCTATCGACATGCAAAAAATTGCCAAAAGTGAAAACCCACCAAACTATGGATGTAAGCGACTGACTAACTGACTACCTGATAAGCATCGAGTAGTCACTCAAATATCAGAGAGAGGCAGCAAGGGGGGGCAGGAGCCGGTTCTGGGGGGAGCCGGCTTAAAAGCCAGTTCCCCCCAGCACCATCTCCACGGAGGGGCAGGGGAGGCAGAGGCGTAGCGGAGGGGTGCTTATTGCCTCCGAATCCATTAAGGGAAGAACCACTGCCTCTTTGCAATACACTGTCCCAGCTTGTGCACAGTCCCAGGCTTGCATTCAGTCCCTCCCCACCTCGCCTCTGCTTTTTAAATGTATTAAGAGCTTGATGGCTCTTAATACATTTAAAAAGCAGAGGCGAGGTGGGGAGGGACTGAATGCAAGCCTGGGACTGTGCACAAGCTGGGACAGTGTATTGCAAAGAGGCAGTGGTTCTTCCCTTAATGGATTCGGAGGCAATAAGCACACAAATTGGGTGAAGGCTTAAAAACTTTACTAGGCAAATATTAAGGTAAAATACAATGCTTAATATTAGAATAAAGTACAATGCTTGTTAAGCAACTCTAGAATAAAAAACAATACTTATTAAGCCTAAACAAATCTCAGAAGAAAATCTTAGGATAGGATACAATGCTTATTAAGCCTAAGCCTATCTTAAAGTAAAATGCAATGCTTACTAAGAAAGTACATTGCTTATTAAGCCTAAGCAAGCCTCCGAATAAAATGCAATGCATACGTCCCTTCTGCTGTCGGAAACCCCCTGAAGGACAGCGGACAGACCCCAGTGGCCAGTACGTAGAACCTCTTGTGGCTTCGGTCTACGCCGAGGTTCCAATGTCAGGAGTATTCCCGGACTTTATATGCTGTTGGATCTACAGTAATCACACCAGTTGTTTTGAGAACCTAACAAGATCATTGATACATTGCATATTTTCCTAGATCCAATAATTAGCTTGTTGATATTTTGCATATTTTCCCAGGCCAAATAATTAGCATTATCAGGTGGAAAACATTCAGCAAAGATAGCTATGTGATCTTCCCAAGCACTCCTACACTCCCATGTCAGGTGGCTGGCCTTGGGACCAGTCCTAGAACTTGTTGAAAGTCAACAGTGCATTCCTACACTGTAACATCTTGAGCAAACAGCTAACTCTTTGAGAATAACAAAAGAAGCAAAAAGCACAAATGGCTGCCTAGAGCATTCAGGCCTGTAAGAAAATGCAGGCACAAAAGGAACAATTGTAGTACACCACCTAATTTCCTCGACCTCAAACCGTCTTCCGCATTTCCATTACAGACACCTGATTCCTGGCTCGTGCTTGGTCCCCCAGCTGCGTCTCTGCAGTTTCCCCCCAGTATCAACGAATCAATGGAAATTCCATCGACTACTCAATTAGCTGATTAAACGCAATTTAACATCCCTATTTCTGCCTCCAGCTGTCGACATTTCATGGCCATGTTTCTAGAACCCTGTTGCCAGATCGAGCAAGGCAATGTGGATAAGCATCCCACAGCACAGTGTTGTGGGAAGGCTGAGCTGATCCCTGCACTTCTTGGGATTCCCTTCTAGCTCCGTGAGCTCTCTGTGCTGACGAATGTCAAAGCAGCACAACCGTCTCTCCCACCCTCCCCCTGCAGCAGCAGCCATCTGCCTGCCCCTGTGTTCCTAGCAGGGCAGAACAGGAGCACTCCAATGATTTGCTTTGTTCCCCAAATGGAGCAGCTCACTCAGCTGTCAGATACTTCCCAGAGTTGTGAGGGGAGGGGCACATGCCTACAGGGCAGCAGAGATCATAAAACACTGAGCACAGCCATCAGGACTGGCATTGTGGGATACTGGTGAAAGCTGGTACGCACAACAAAACAAACAGCAGAGTCCACAGTGGATCTTTGTCGACAATAAAGGGAGGGGAAAAGACAAAAGTCTCTCATGGGGTTGGAAGGGTGTTTTTTTTTTTTTTTTTTTTTTTCCAAAACTGGGTATTTGTCCCAACAAAAGTCACATTGCGGTATAAATACTCGGTCTTTCTTTGCATCTCAGTGGGCTGCAAAGTCAATTAACCCAACCATGTCATTTATAACTAGCATAGCAAACCTGAAATAAAACTGCTATGGACAATAACAATCAGCCATCAAAACCTCTCTCTGTACTGTTCCATGAAGCTACAGCAGCCATAGCTCATTAGGGTAAATTCTCAACATTATCTCGACTGATTTAATATTTTGGGCAGCTGCCTACACTATTGCCTTATGCAAAATGTGGTATTTAGATTAGAAATGGTTTATCTTGCACATTATCGTATGTTCCATGCTCCTTATCCATTCTTTTCTTGTTATTCCTAGGTGCCGTGTAAAAGCAGGACTTTGTGTTTTTGCACAGCGCACAGAGAGGAAGTGGGCACTAGCGATGAAAGTCTGGGAGTCCGGAGACCCGGGGCATGATTCTCCTTTACACTAAGACCCTTTTATGTTGCTCTAACAGTGTAAAGGGGGTGGGAAGAGCCCTGTGATAAGCCCAGTGCAGTGGGCCTCCCAGGCCAGTGTTGGACCTACTCCAGCCTGCTTTCATCCCCAAGTATAAGGGGTGTCATTATCCTCGGTGCACAGGGCGTCATCATTCTCTGCCTCCCGGCACCCACAGAGGGGCAAGGGAAGCAGAATAAGGTCAGGTCTACCCTTACCGCAATACTGACGCTCCAGAGATCAATCTTCCGGGGTTTGATTCAGTGGGTCTAGAAAAGACTCACTAAATCAACCATTGACAGCGACCCCCATCGATCCTGGTATTCTATGAGGAGTAAGGGAAGTTGAAGGGAGAGTTTCTTCCATCGACCTCCCACAATGGGGATGCTGCAGAAATTTGATTTAAGATACGTCAGCTCTAGCTACCCTATTTGCATGGCTGGATTTGCGTATCTAGAGTCAACTTTCTCCCCATTGTAGACCTGGCCTACGTAGGAGCAGCCCTGAGGCTGCTCCAGCTTACTCCTGGTCCTGTACTGGGCCCTTAACAGATCCTGAATATAGGGAGTTCAAAAGTGGCCTCAAACAACTTCAGCACTCCTCTCTCCCCTTTTCCAGTTCAAATTCGGATGCTAGGTTCCATATTCCTTGTTCAGTCACAAAGTGAGTGAGATAAACAAGCCACTTCCCCTCTCAACCTCTGTTTTCTCAGCCTCTTGTGACTACTTATAAAACCCCTCGGGATCCTGGCACGGAAGGCACCAGTGAAGTGCTAACCACATCATCTGCTCCTCCCACTTTTCTCCCACCTGTAGCTTGGTGATTTCTTGGTCGTTTCCAAAGAAGCTGGTTCTGACGTCACAGAGGATTATGTCTTTACACAAAGGATTTCATGAACTGAAAGTGGCATCGACACACTGCGCCCAGGAGTGGTTACAAAACGACAGCTGTCTAGCTGGACACGGAGACCATCGCACCTTTCAGGTGTGCTTTAGTTTTGCTGTCTGACACCCACTGCTCAAAATCGCACTCTGCGGGACACGCAGGTGGTGGAAATAAGAGAGGCTGCGGTAGGGCACGATGCATCTCTCTTCTCCTTTTCCTCCTGCAATAAAGAAAGAATCCACAGCTAGATTGCAAATCATTCTGGCCACATTGTATCTGTGCCATCTCTACTACAAATCATAGCTACTTTTGTTACTGCTCAATAATTGAGAACAGTATAAAAAGGCAGCTCCGTCTACTCAGTGGTATATGGCGCCAGGTGCTGAGTTCTAACCTCTGCTCTGAAACAAACTTGCCATGTGATGCTGACCATGCTACAGCCACGCCATGACTCAGAGATAATAATACTTACCTACCTGTCAGAGATCGGGGGATTGGCACCATTATATAAGTGTTACCAGCATAATTACTGCTAGGAGAACAGAGCATGCTTTCAGCACACAACAAAAATAATCCCTCTTCGGGAAAAAACATTGTCAAGGTGAAGGCCTGTCAGTGGTCCATACGCCTTTTATCTTGCGAGAATGTTGCTAATAAAATGTTCACAATGTTAAAAACAGGCAATGCTGAATCAGGCATGCCTAAACTAGGCCACTTTTAGAGGCAAGGTTGTCGACAGAATTGTTGCTAAAAGTCAGCTTGCATGAATGTTGTCTGTCGGCGCTTTTGCCGATAAAAATACTTCCACTCCCTCCGCACTGAGCAGGTTTTGCTTTGCTTTGCTCTGACAAAGCAGCATTCGCACTTTCACTTGCCACACTGAAACGTTGTGGTTCAAGGGGGGAAGGGGTTAAGCAGCCGTGAACAACAAAAGTTTTGTTGATCAAGTGGCAGTGTAGATACCCGTAAAGTAGCACTTCTCATATGAACTATCTTAATCCCACCTTTGTACAGAGGGGGGGGGGCCGCCTGTCTTCCCTACGTGGCTGCAAAGGGGTGGCCCC